CGCTGGCGTTTGTTCCTCTGGTTGTGACCCTGCTGGGCTTCACTTTGAAGCAGCCTGTCCTGTGACTCGTGGCTGTTGACGTTGCGGCCCCCGGCGTGCCCCCGGCGGGCAGGGTACATGCCCCTGTACGTGCGGCCGTGGCAGGGAGAGGCGTACTCATCCTCCTCTTCCTCCTCTTCTTCTCCTGCCTGATGACACGGGCTCCCCCTCTGGCCATGAGACAGCGAGTCACTGGCCTCGTCCGATGGCATGAGACTGTCCTGCTCCAAGGGGGAGATGGCCTCCTCGCCTGCCTCTTCTTCCGCCTCGCCTTCCTCCTCTTCCTCTTCCCGTTCCTCAGCCTCCATTTCAACGCCCTCGCTCGGCGGCGGCTGGTTCTTGTTCTGGAAGAACAAAAGGAGCGTGACTGATGTGGCACAACTTGACAACAAGTGGCTTCACACTTCCTGTTGGTGGCAACTGTTCTGTCACGTCAGAGTTTTGGTGGATGCAAACGAAGAAGGGTGACAAAAGAATGCAAACACCGTGTGAAGAAGGACTTCCTAAATGTCACCTCTGATGCCTGAAGCGAAGGCATACGGAGACAAATAAGAACATCTCGAGGTGAATCTTTTATTTATGGTCACTCACCGTGGATCTCTCATTCAGTAAATGATTGTAGTCAGTGAACCAAACTAAACTATTCATTTGTGATTGACAATATGGTGAATATAAAACTTGGTCTCTAGACTGAGACCAATTTGGGTCCACAGGCACTCTAATTTCTCAATAGTACACCAAAAAAGGAAGCGGTTGCACCAGTGCCACCAGCCTTTCGAGGGGTGGGGCAGGAAAGTAGAAGTGACTTTCAATAGATTTTTGTGAACAGAGCCTGAGTCTCTTATATTTTTAATTTATATATTTTATTCATTGTTCTGTTTTCAATGCCAATGTTCAATACTGTTGAGAGTAAAAAGTTATTTGATTTCAAAAAAGGATAATGTGGCCTAGGTGAGTGACTGACGTCCATCAGATTTCAAGTGGAAATAGCTGTGGATGATGACAACAATTCACAACTTGTTGAATGTTAAAGTTAAGGTCCGATATGTTCAAAATTCCTAAACAAGACTCTGTCGCAGGGCGCTTTGAACGTACTCGCGAATAAGTTCGAACATACTTGTAGGCTCAGTGCTACAAACGGAGTATTTTCCCATAATGCCACGGGAAATTAAATCCCATCATGCGTGCACAAGTCAACACCCTGTGGCATTATGGGAAAATGCTACCTTTGTAGCATTTAGCCTAAAGTACATCCGAACGTATTTTCGAGTACATTAAAACGTGTTTGAGTACGTTCGAACGCACTTGTGAGTACGTTTGAACCTATTTAAATACTTTTGAATGTACTCGTATGGTTGAAGGTGTTTACCAGTCAAAATATTTTTCCACCAGCATTGCCATTTCTGTAGTACGTATTGAAAAAAAAGAACAAAAAAAGACCATACTGATGATTTATTCTTTCTTTTTAAGTGGTCCAATAATTTTCCCTGAATATCAGTCCAGTAGTTTCCTGTTTGATGGTTGTCGTGCATTCCTTGTTGAATGTTAAGTTTTGCTTGAGTACAGCAAATCCTTTTCAACAAGGTGTTTGCAAAGTTTTGTCTGTGTGCACACATTGTTACATCAAAGTAAGAAAATGCCAGTCAAACGGTCAAGATGGAGAGAATGGGGAGGCTACATGGAACAAGTGTTAGTGCACTGTACGCATACTGTATTGTGGTCTTATTACGATTATTGTGTAACAGGAAGTACACACATTCCCGATAGTGTCATGTGCCTCTGCGAGGGCTGGCACATTTACGTGGCATGCGTGGAAACGGATCAACACACAAGAAGGAGTAATGAGGAAAGTCTGCCAAATGACACGCAAGTTTAGTCATTTTAGGAATCCGTGTGTCATTCATTGTGGTGAATTCAAAGTGTTGATTCACTTCAGACCGTCAACTCAGGGAGAGAAGGAAGGATGCGGCGTATGAATATACCACATCCCCATGGATGGCACAGGTGTGAAGAGGAGTGTGTGTTGGTGTGTGTGGGTGTGTTGTTGTGTGTGTGTGTGTGTGTGTGTGTGTGTGTGTGTGTGTGTGTGTGTGTCTGTGTGTTTGTTTTTACCCCACTACTCACCCCAGCTGGTAAAGCCATCATTCAATTAATTCCTGTATTTCAGAAAATGTTAAGCATGGGTGAGTGAGAGGACACACAAGCGAAGACAATTATATCAAAGACACAAGAGTGAGAATTGGGAGACGTTGAAAACAGCGACAAGATAATAACATAACACATAAGTCTCGATGCGGGACGGTCGAGACTAGTGAGGAGCAAGCTCACCTGGAGGCTGGAGATGGCGGACGGTGGGGTCAGCAGACTCTGCTCTAAAAGAGGATTGAGAGGGGTGGTGCCTGGGAGATGTGTGGCCCGCCAGTATATCTCCAGGTATTCGGCCAAATGCTCACAGGCATCCTCCAGCTGGTTTTCATCCAAAATGACATCAAACAAATCCTACGGGCAAAAGTGCAACTTGGAAAAGGTAGCACATGATTTAAACAGAAGTGACAGCCACTTTGGTGGTGCTCAAAAGCAAAGCACACAGATCGCGTCCCCAACTGTGAATTAATATGCATTTGGTTCATTTAAACATTATTTTTTTAAAGTGTGTGTGTGTGCGCATATGTATACATATGTACATTGTCATCACTTCTCCTTTAAAATTGTAATAATTGGTGTCATTGTTTCTCTCTTTTGTGACGCTCTTTGTAGTAGATTTAACATGACAAACACGTTGACGAATCACAAGCTGCTTGTAATGGTCGAATTTCCAGATGTGCGGCATATTCACAAGTATTAAGCATTGTTTTTGATCCACTGTGATCTCATCCAAAAGAGACCCAATGCTGCCATCTACTGGCCAGGGTTAGTGATTTTTTTTCTCACCGTTTTTTAACATTGAAGAATGACGTTATAACAGCTTGAATTAGAATCAAATAAACACAAAGAAAAAAGTGTTTTATAATCTTTCATATTTATGTTTCGCCGTCGTCCTGCATTCATGCGTCACAAATTCGCTTGTCTCTTCTAGTCTAAACACAAGGCTAGCTGTTGCTGCTCCCTAGCGGTATGGAAGGGTACTACACGATTACTTTGCCGGGCGATTGACCGCACAGGCAAACAAATTGGATATTTTCCCGCGGCACAGCTGACAATGTCTCGCGGCACACGCACAGGATTTGAAAAACACTGCTGTAAGGGAATAGAGTTACATTTTTCCTGGATATGTAATGCCAGTGCATGTATTCAGTTATTCCCAAAGCCTAATTATATGAATAGTAAATATTTTACCGTCTTGGAAATCGAAGCTCATTCAAATATTCTGACAGGAAATGACAGTTCACTCACGGGGGGGCACTGAGAGAGTTTGTCTGCAGCCATCATCTGAACATTCAGGTGCTTGCTCTGAGACTTCCCCCTGGACTTGATCAGCCTCTGGAGCACCTGAGAGGAGCAGAAAGCGCAGAGTTGGTCCACCCGGTGGTAGAAAAGGATGTGATTGTGTACGTTACCTTTGGCGAGGAGACTTTCACGTAGACGACGATGGGTGCGAGGGAGGTTTTGGCGAGCTGTGCGGGATGGTTGATGGTGTCCGCATCCAAAACCACCAGCTGCAGCGTTTTGGCGAGTTCAAATATCCTCTCGATTTCACTCTGAACCTCGGCTGCATGAACGGCAAACATTTTCCATGTTCAACCCTTGCACTTCTGTCCATCAAAAAGTAGCAAGCTTTTTAACGTGATTTTTTTTTTTTTTTTTACCCAAACTGGACCGAGTGTTGGACCTTTCCATTATGGGTCTTTTATTGAGGACGGATCTTTTAGCTAGGGACAAGTCGGCAGTGACACGGGTGATTGAGATTCTGCAGTTTCAGTGAAAGTGTCAAAAAGATACAGTCAATGCAATATTTGGGCAGCATTGATTAAACCAGAGGTGTAGTAAATGGTGAACTCGCTGATGTCTACTGACCTTCCTTCAAATCTGTGTTTTAGGAAGTCAAAGAGGGCTTTCTGCATCATATCTGTAACCTGGGGGCAAGGGAGAACGAACTAACATTTGATGCAACTGTCTTGTGTTTCCTCTGTTAGCCAGAGGTCAAATACGGCACGCTGACCTCGTAACCCTTGAGTGATGGACCCACGAGGACCATCGGCCTCATGGATGGCACCACATCGTACGGAGGGACGTGTTCCTGCCACACACAAGGCAAGGCAAAGGGTGAAAGAGATGGCACGAGAAAGGATGGGCAGAGGGAATTGGGGAAAAGGGAAGCAGAGAAAACGTCAAAAATAAAACGAATGAGTTAACCTACCTGTTTTTGCCTCAGTTTAGCTTTTGAAAGTAAAAAAGCGATTTAAGTTGATTCAGATCAAAACACTGGCAGCAGTCGAATCAACAAGGTGCATGTGTAATACTTACATTCGCCTGCAGATGGTGGTGTGGTCCTCCAGTTTCCAGTCACCATGTCTCCTAAACTGGAGGAGTTGCCACCTGTTTTTCTGCAATGCCAAACCAAAATATTACATAAAGTCCATAGACCCTTCAAAAATGTTCGTCCATTGAAAGCCGTAATTCACCTGCACGCTTTATTTAAACTCGGTGTCTTTGTTTATCATGCTGGCAATAAACCAGATTCCGAAATAAGACCGCAAACAGCACGGTACCTCTGTTTCTGCTCTTGCTTGAGTCTCATCGCCTCCAGTCGCAGCGGGCTGGGGATGAAGGCGATGTCAGCTCCCTCTTTGACGAGACGCCCGATCCACCAGTCATTACTGTATTTCTGTTAAATGGACAACTGTTTCAGCATCACGCCAACGGGTGCTGCTTAAACGCAGAGGAGGAGCTTGTTGGAAGGAATCGCGATCGCTCACTTCTTTGATGTGCAGGAAGTCTTTGGCATCAAAGTTGACTGCAGCGCCCTGTACGGGACAATCCTCATCCAGAGCTCCACAGTAACTCACATTTGTCTTTACTGCGAACGCCACAGGTTTGGACTGGTTAAAAAAAAAAAAATGTTATTGGCACATTCAACATGACTTGAGGGACAATAATTAATCGGTTAACCGACAACCAATCAAATTCATAGCTAATTATTTTGGATGATCATTTAGATAGCTTTTTGAATTAAAACTTGTCCAAATGCTCAACATGTCTGCTTCTCAAAAGTCAATATTGACTGATCTACGCAGTGCTCGATGAAAGTCGACTTTGTGTTGAATCTAAATAAAATATTATATATATCTTCGGATCAAAGCTGCGACGGAATCCTAATCAGTTTAAGTTTGTGCATTTATTACACTTGTCAATTTGAAACATTCTCATGCTTTTGAATAAGGATATGGAATTTAAATGTTTTTTTTTTAATCCGGTATATCAATTAATCACCAAAATAATTGACAGATTAATCAATATTCAAATAACACTGGTCAACATTTTTTGGTCATTTTTTTTAAATAAGAGATGCAAGTAAACCTTTCTGCATTCATTTTTTTTGCACTGATTCCAAATCTCATTTTTTCGCTAGCACATCAGTTTTGATAATAACATACAATATAGTATTTAGATAGCTTTTTGAATTAAAACTTGTCCAAATGCTCAACATGTCTGCTTCTCAAAAGTCAATATTGACTGATCTACGCAGTGCTCGATGAAAGTCGACTTTGTGTTGAATCTAAATAAAATATTATATATATCTTCGGATCAAAGCTGCGACGGAATCCTAATCAGTTTAAGTTTGTGCATTTATTACACTTGTCAATTTGAAACATTCTCATGCTTTTGAATAAGGATATGGAATTTAAATGTTTTTTTTTTAATCCGGTATATCAATTAATCACCAAAATAATTGACAGATTAATCAATATTCAAATAACACTGGTCAACATTTTTTGGTCATTTTTTTTAAATAAGAGATGCAAGTAAACCTTTCTGCATTCATTTTTTTTTGCACTGATTCCAAATCTCATTTTTTCGCTAGCACATCAGTTTTGATAATAACATACAATATAGTAATACATTTAGTAATATTTCTGGTTTCAGGGTTAGTTTGTGCAACAGGTGGAACTTTTTTCTTTTTCATTGCTATAAAGTACAACACATGGTCAAATTTGTACTGCGCAAGCTTTTCGAGATCAAACTTAAAACAGAAAATGAAAATATCTCAAGAAAAAAAATCTAAAGACATTTTTGATATCAGTGTTAATAATTCATTGAGGGAGACGTGAAGCCACCTGTGATTACAATTTGCTGTTGACCAGTGTAAGTGTTAGTTGCAGCCCTACTTTCATTCGAAATAAAATTGATATATGATGAGTACCGCTTCGTGCAATAAGATCCTTTTTTTCGGGGTCTGGATTCTTGTTCTAATGTTCTGAATTAAGCTTTTTTCCCCCCCATGCGGGATTCCATGCATCATTAATGTTCACATGCCACATGATGAGCAAAAAATAACCACCGATGAATAAATAATGATGCCTAGAACAATGTATTTCCTGGCATGAAATCATTGGCTCTCCTACCTTAGCTCTGTCGAGCTGAAGTTGTGCCTGGCGTTCGGCTTCACGCCGATACGCCTCGCGGTCTTCCTCTGCTGACAGGTCGGAATCCGACGGTCTACTGGTATAGGACTCAGCCGACCCCTGGTGAGACAGCGCAAGGCAATGGAAGAATCGTTATGCAGTCATTTCCATATTTGCATCTAGCGCGTGCTGTGTTTTGTGCTGCTTTAAACGTGTCTGTTCACCCCAACACACTCATAAGGGAATTAGTTGGTGTGTGTGTGTGTGTGTGTGTGTGTGTGTGTGTGTGTGTGTGTGTGTGTGTATACAACACAATGTGCTGCTCGACAACCCCCGCCCCCATCCTATGGAAGACCAAATATAGAGCAAAGGAGGAAACCGCATCCTCTTCTTGCCTGCCTGGCCCCATTCCATCCCATCATCCCCCACAGTGCAGCACGTATACATCCTTTTTTGCCCTGTTGATTCTCCAAAGGCACCTCCTCATTTGCAAAATATATGCTCACGATCATTTTTCACTCCTTGTGGTTTAAGGACGCATCCCAGTTTGGCTTTGGCATTGTGCTGAAAACAAAACTGATCAAACAAAGGCAAACTTGACTATTTAGTGCTGCGAATTGGTTCAGTGTGCATTTTTGTAATCTCTCTCTATTTGATACCTACTTTCATAAGAGGAGTGCAGGAAATGACCAAAAAGTAAAATAGATAAATAAATAAAACACAGTCACCATGACTTAAATATAGAAACCTCTCACATATCTATCTATCTTACTGTATCAATGTAAAAAATTCATTTAATAAATTCACATGAATAAAGTTTTCACGACAAGACAAAAACACCTGAGAGTCATGTCTGACTCCTGGTCTTTAAACTTGACAGACTCCATCCATCCATCTATTTTCTGACCCGCTTATCCTCACAAAGGTCGCGGGGGGTATTGGAGCCAATCCTAGCCGTCTTCGGGCACTAGGCGAGGGACACCCTGAACCGGTTGTCAGCCAATCGCAGGGCACACAGAGACAAACAACCATCCTCGCTCACACTCACACCGAGGGACAATTTGGAGTGTTCCATTAACCTGCCACACATTATTTTTGGAATGTGGGAGGAAATCGGACTACCCAGAGAAAAAACCATGCAGGCACGGGAAGAACGTGCAAACTCCACACAGGAAGGACGGAGACGGAATCGAACCCTGCATCTGTGCACCGTGAGGCCGACAGGCTAACCAGTCGACCACCCTTATACAAACTCAACAAGAGATTAAGTGAATCCAAAAATAAAAGAAATGCCCATCTGAAAATAATTCATCTCATATCACCAAGTATTTCCTGTGTCACCCTGAAGAGAAGAGCTCGCGATCACCTCTCCTCCGTGTGTGTGTGTGTGTGTGTGTGTGTGTGTGTGTGTGTGTGTGTGTGTGTGTTTGTCTACGTTTGATCTGATTTCTCGCTTTCATAAGCTCTGCAAAGCTCCGCTGCACCAGCGGCAGGCGGTAGTTGAGAAATAAAAGGAGAATGAGGGGGATGGATGGAGTCAACCATTGGACATACTGTATACTGAGAGTTGAAGACTGTTTACGAGCCCAAGTGAGCAGGACTGACAGATGGCTTGAAAGGCGAACGGGGTCAGGGTGTTGTCTTGTTCAATGATCTTCAGGTCACGGAGATTAAATTGAAGGCTTTTCCTTTCTACTCTTCACAAATGGCAAAACCAGTGACCTGGCTTATGCGGAAATCGTCCGAAAGGAAGGTTTCATTAACAATAATAAGCAAGCAAAAGTCCTCCCAGAGTCAAACTTTCAGGATTCTTGTTTCCATTTACCTTTGCACTTTTTAAACAAATTTTACATTGAAACATGGACTATGCCAAGATACACCCCGTGAGCATCTCATACATTGCAAAACCATCAGAAGACAAAGTTTCAACAATGCCCAAAAGTGCCACCACTCACACAAAATCGATAGATATGCAGAAATGATGACAAGTTTGCACAGAATTTGGAGCATCCTGCCACTTGGTCTCTTTTTTGGGCTGAGAGAAATAATTGATTCTTAGATGCATTACAACAGCAATGTAATCTTTTCGGATTCAATTAATACATTTCAATTCTCAATTATTCAATAAGACAATGCTTCCAGAAGAGACAAAGTAGAACTTGGCAGCGCAGCAGCTGCCTGACAGAGCAACATACAAACATTGTAGTGGAAATAAGACACTAAAATGTGACATGGGCATCCGAAAACCCAAAGCAGCTAAACAAAAATAGAAATCGTAATAATGTTCAAATTTTGAGTACATACGTTGATTTTTCTGCAAAAATCAATTAAATAAAATCCTTGCATTTAATGTGGATTTCCTGTCCAGCAGTTTTATGCTGTCCTTGAATTGTAATTTTTATGCACATTTGCACTGGGGGAAAAAAAAATACAGTATGTGGTTATTTTGTTGTTGGCTTCAAACCTTTTGTTGTTGTGTTAGGATAACAGATCTGTTGTACATGCGTTCAAAAATATATGATTAAAAATGTAAGAAATTAGGAGCACATACTTTGCACGTACGCACATATTTTATCCATATTTTAAATGACATTTCTGTCATACATCTGGTTAGGTAATGCGTGGTCCCATGCGACCTCCGAGTCGCACTGACGACAAGTTGTGGCTGCCATCAGCATTTAAATTGTGCCTCCCTGCTCTTGAGCACCTGAACAAGTAGTCAGGGTGAAGCCATGCATGTCTGTAAACAACTAGTTGGGTTTTCTTTTGGGAGAATCGGAAGTTGGACCGTAACAATCCAGGTCCAAAGCCCAAGTCCTTCAGATGAGTTTTGCCTTCACTGTTAATGTATGTCTGACTCAAGGAGCAATATTTACCTGAATCTATACAAAGGCAGGATTGTTGTTCTGATCAAATAATGTGCCAAGACTGCATGCACACATGAAAACCAGATTGTATCATTTGCTGCAAAAAAAAAAAAAAACTAAACGGAATATATTATACAGGAGGCTGAAACAGGCCCCCCTCATCTCCCAACAGCAAAAAATGCAAACGTCAGAGATTTGACAATCCAGTCACCAAAAATCTAGGAAAAAAAAAAGAATTCTATGAACTGCACAGTCGTAATTCAATGTCAAAAAATGACATCTGCATAGCTCTCTGGCACACAAAGCCATAAATCACAGTGCGGTTATATCAATATCAAAGTCAAGATATGTCAATTGATCAATCTGAGAAGGGGAAGGAGGAGGAGGGTAGTCTGGAGGGGAAACAAGGGAATGGAATTGAAAAAGAAAAGCAGGTAAAGCGAGGAATGAAGTTAACCAAAGCGTCATTGAAAGCTTGAAAATAATGGAGGGTAGAAGACAATGCTCACGATGTTGTGAGTCCTCTTTACAAATGCAAAATCCTGTGAAGAATAATAATCGTAATAATAATGAATAAGATGAAGAAGAATTTGTTGATTTTATATATATATA